GTGTATCAAATACTTATTTCACACAATAAAATGGAAATTAATTGTTTAAAAATCATACATTGTATTTTCTGGATTTTTGTTTTAGATTCCATCACTCACAGTTRAAGAGTACCTATGATAAAAATTACAGTCATCTACAAGCTTTGCAAGTGGGAAAACCTGAAAAATCAACAGTGTATCACATACTTGTTCTCCCCACTGTAACATGGTTAAGTAAATCCAACATTTCATTTTTAGAGTGTAGTTCAGTATTTCTGATTCATCTTGATGATTCAGACAGCTTTGTTATGCTATAATTTTAAATCTCATCATTTGTTCTGCCATTTCTATTAAATTGAACTCCTTAGTGTCGTACTGTCAGGGAAGATTTCAAGGAAATTCACAAGTACTACAGACATGCAGCTACAATATTCTTTTTAAAGGGTTTCTTAGTAAATATTTTCCCAAATTTAGAACTATTTTAAAGAAGGCCCAATATAACAATTTCCCCTTATTTGAGTTTCTTTTTTTGTTTCTGTTTTTATAGAGGCTGTTCTGCTATATTATTTTAAATTAACATCGGATCCGTGTTCAAGAATAAATGCCATCTTAAATTGCYTCTGTTTGCTTTGTGTTAACCTCACAGCGATTGCCAATTTTAAGGGGCATATGGTTGGTCATCTTAGCAAGCACTAATTTTGAGTGGAAAACAGCTGCCCRATCATTGAACTAGTTTAGAATACCATCCAGCACACATGCACATCCCCAGTTCCCAGCAGTGGTCAGCRCTATTAAAGCCACCGAGTTGGTCGATCGCTAAAGGCCACCTGCAGTTTCTGAGGCCTGGGACCCTGACACTCACAGGGAGAGTTTGATACTTGGAACGAGGGAGAAATACAGACAGAGGTCAGACAGAGAGTAGCAAGGGTGCCCAGAACACGAGGCTGGGAACACAGTTAATCAATACAGCTCGTCACATGCTGTTTTAGCCTTGAAATGGTTCCCGTCAGCTTGGTGGTGATGGATTTTAGCTGGTGTGTGTCCACATCTAAGCAATGAAAGGTAGTTGCTGCTTTTGGAGCCAAATTGATAATGTGACTGTAAAAGGTGTCACAAACCTGCTGCAGTGCAGGCAGGTAATGTTTAAATTATTTTTTTTTTCAGTTATAATATGAGAATCTTAATCAAACAGTCTCAACAGAATTGATTGTAAAAATAAATCAATCCCCATCCCTTTCTCTTCATTTTTTGTCACCCTTTTTTCTGTTTCCCATATTTCCTCCATCCTGTAACTGTTTTCTTTCTGTTTTATTTTCCTCCCTATACTGTTGAGTTTTTCTTTTATATCCCCTTTTTTATTCTAAGAGGATTTGTGAAGCAAGTGATTCCTCCTTTTGCGTTTTATTGTTTCTTTTTCCTTATCTTTATATTGCTAACCCTCTCTTGTCATTGTCAGTTTTACTATACGCCATCCCTCATCGCTGCTGTTCTTCATTTTTTTCCTTCTTTTTCTCAACAAAGTAATCTGTCGCTCCTGCTTTCTCATTAATCTAGTGATTGGTTGTTCTCTAATGAGATCTCTTTTTTCTTGTCTCTCTATTATTCTCTCACTCCTACGAACATGGAAAAGTCATCCTATTAGTGGGTTAAACGGATGTTCAGAGATGAAGATGGCTGTCGGATTATAGAACTGGTTGTGATTATAGATGTAAGGTTTCTATTTGAGTGACAGGAGCAGGTCAGTTTCACTGTAACTTTAAGTTGGAATCTGTCAGAAACAATACGATGGGTGTCATCTCACCTTCATTTAAAATAGAAATTACATACATTTATAATTCCCTCCTGTTTCAGGTGAGTAAACTAATTTTATTTTTAATATAAATAATCAACACCTTTAGGACGAGGAAAATTTAATGAAATAAATAACGTATGGCAAAATTCTTGTGTGATTTTTTTTTTCCAGTAATATTTTCTGACGTTGAGAACAGGAATGTAAAACACCCTATTATCAAAAAGAAACATGTATATTTGCATTGTAACTTTCTTTCAAGCTGAAAGCTGCAAATTATTTTAAGCAATATTTAAAATGATTAAAAATGATCAACTTCAAATATTTTGTTTGATAAATTATGATGTATTAGTTGTACAAAATTTCAGTTTTATGTTCAGAAATACACAAAATTCCATTTATCATAGAAATCAATGATACCACTTTTTACACAGGTGTGTGAGTTGATTTTATTCATTTGGCACACAACCAAGTTCTGTTTGGACTCGCTTTGGAAAAGTAATTTGAATATGATTTTGATAGCTGAGCACATTACTGAGCAGCTGGCTGTGCTAAGACTTGACACAGGTTTTGAGGGCATTTGAGAGCTATTCAAGCTGTTGTTTGCTGTGTCTTAGTCATTCAATCCATCCTTTAGTGTTCACAAAGCCGTGCCGTAGCCCTGCAGCAACCAGCAAGCCCTTGAACTTATCCTGCCAGCCCCTCTTCACTGAGTCAGTGGTTCAATTTTATCCATTCTGTTCCAATATGACCTCAGTGCAATTTCTTTTATAATACCAAACTTTACATTCAGCATTCTTGCTTTGTAAGGCTTCAATTGGCTCATTCATCATGATAAAATATTTATAGTCAGCCTAGCAAATAAATGTGAAATATTGAAGATGTGTACTACAGCAAGGTGAAATTCAAATGTTTTTTTTTTACTTCCCTAGGGGACAACCTTTTTGGGAAA